TGTGTTCCTAGCATTAAATATAGCATATATCGTCACTACCTAAAGCAGAAATATTCAGTGTGTGTTTGTCCTCTTTCATGATTATATCTGAACAGTGTTTATGTTATTTTTCATGTTATTTCATATTTACTGTGTACCAAACACCCTATGAGCTACACTCAGACAGGAGAGATGAAAACGTGGCACATTTGTTTACCATTAATCATTTCTGGGTTTTAATCCTGGTCCCACCTTCTCTGTGGCAGTTTTCCCTGGATGGAAGGGGGCTGGTGGCGGAGGGATGTGGGATTGTGCGTGCATGAAGCGTGGGATGCAGTCTTTTGAGGGCTAGTGTTACCCTCCCAGACAGCTTATGATCCTTGCTGAATCCTGCCAGCACCTGGTCCTGGTCCTCTGGGGTGGGGAGACACGGCCCAGAGCCTGCAATAAAAACCACCAAGCAGCAAGGTGCAATGCTGCAGCCAGCCAGAGCGCTGGGTGTTGCCAATGGGTCCCTGGGCTACCTCGCCAGGCCGGCGGCCGGGCAGAAGCCCCAGGGCAGCTGCATGTCCTGGCTGGGGGTCAGGACAGGGCTTCCCCAGGCAATGCCTTCTCTTTTCTTCGGGTGAGGGCAGAATAGGGCCATATTGTATCAGCAAGTGTGGCTTTGATGCTCAGTAAAAATATCTTTACTTACAGAGATACCGAATCAGTACTGCCAGCTCCACTGCAGGGTCTTAACCCAATACTTGGCAGTGCAGTAGGGAGTGTGTGTATTTGTTTGGTGTGGGGAACCAGAAGCAAAGGGAAGAAAATCAAACTACCGTGATCTCCTCTTTTGCAGCATCCAGTTTCGTCTGTGCTTCTGGGTTTAACGAGGTAGCTGATGGAAATCAGAGGTGCTCCCTCTGCCCATTGCAACGCTAGGATGAACCCCTCAATGCTCTTAAATTCATCCTCTGCCTGCCCTTTTGTCATGACTAGAGTGAAATGAGGCAATAACCTCATCTGATTTGCACATCCCACAAAACTTGCCAGTGAAGTTAGACACCTCTGTGCAGCTGACTTAAGCCTGCTAGTTCTGGGTTGATTTCTTCTTCTTAAACTGCATGGAGGTATGCCACAGAACCCTCAGGTTGGAAGCCACTGAAGTAGATGAATACTAGCAATTTGATGCTGATGGATTTAAAGAAGAAACAATCTCTTCATACAGTATGAGAGATACAAATATGAGCTAACAGTATGCTTGCATGGCTTTATTTTTCAAATTCTGCAAGTAGAGTTATATTCTAAATATGGTACTTTGAGCCCAGTGTCTAATGAGCTCCCAGATATGGAAGAGTACAGGCACCTCAGCAATAAGGGCTAAAGCCGATCAAATGAACTTTGCATAATTATGAGCTGAGAACTTAAAGAACATAGTGTATATCACTCGCTCCAGAGGTGAGCACAGATGGATAGCACAGGCTGATATCAGAGACCACAGAGAGAAAATACCATGTATGAAAGTGTGATCCAGACCTGAGCTGTGTTCCAGAGAGGGAAACGATTAGATTTATGGGCTTGTACATTTGCACTGTTAGTGTACCTATTAACAAGTGAGGTACATTATTCCTACTAGACACCTTGAATTTCTTGCAAAAACAGTTTTCTGGATATTGCTGAAAGTAAATTGTGTTTTGCTTGTCAGTAAGGAAAAAATTATAACAGAGACAAAAGATTTTGAACAAGACTTTCTTAGAACCTAGATAGCAAAATGGCTGCTTTGTTGAGTTTGGATTTGAGAACCTGATATTGGCATTAGCCTGAAAAGTTAATAGTCATCTGCTCTTCTCCTGCACAATAATACTACTGCAGCTACGTGTCCACAGGTGATAATGTCACTACATGGACAGTAAATGCTGACACTTACCAAAGCTGTGAGCCAAATGAAACCCCAAAGGCTATTTAATCACCTAAATTGATGCTTCATTTTCCTAAGTGCTGTGGCTGTAGTGACTTTCATGGAAGTCAGTAAGTTTAACTCATTATTTTAGTTTCCTTTTTAAAATACTGCTTTCAAATATGTTTTATTGTGTTTTGTTTTATTTTTTAAAAAAAAAATATTTCTACATTTCCAGTGGAATGTTCTTAAATAACAGATTTTATAATTGTACTGAGCAAGGTGGTACATTCAAAACATTATTTATCAGTGAGGAAGAAATGCCTTATAGATAAAGCCAAGAATTTATTATTAGTATTTAAATTTTAACAGTGTAATACAAGAATCATTATTAGTTGAGATTTCATTATTACCAAAAATAATGCTTGTGCACAGAAAGAAGTTTTAGTAATAATAATAATAATGTCAAAATTGTTATACACACACTTCTTAGCTTCTGCTGCTTTTCTTGGTGTTTTATCCACCCTCCTCCTGCTCCTCTGGGTCCTGAAACGGGCAGTTTGAGTCTGGCAGGGGTCAGTGGAGGCATTGCGGCGTATCATTGGCATCTGGAGTCCTTTGCTGAGAAGGATATGATGTTCATCGTGATGGTTTCTTTTTCCTCACTCTAGGATCTACCTGGGGGCATTTTATGTTTCCTAACACACTTTTAGACCTTGCTGTTTCTTCACTGATCTGAAGCTCTACAGACAGGTAGAGCCTGTTACAGCCAAGTGTACTATACACAGTGCCTTTCACGTGTGTTAGATACTTCTTTGTTCACCTTGTTACCCCTAAAAGCAGCTTTGTCCAGCCCCAAATCTGCATTCCTTTAGCTGAGCACTGGTGAGTTGTTTATAGCTGTGCGGTCTCCAGTGCCAGCCTGTTCACATCTCTCTAGCAAAGGCAATAACATATTACAGGGCTACCGGGTAACAGAGGTCATGATACGATTCAGGCATGCTTCATACAGTATGGGGTATATATGTAGAAAATGTGAAATAATATACATGTGAAAGGCAGCCACAGTTTGGAGTGTCAAATACGTATTTTTCTACTGGGCTCTCCATTCGCCTGTCTGTTACAGTGTGAACAGTAGCACACTGTTGGAGCTGGATCTCCCCGTTTTGTTTTTGTTTTGTGAAATGTTTTCCAGTCTCAATAGTTGTTTGCTGAGACAAGTAATACAGTAAATTGCACATCTGGCAGCACTTGCATTGTCGTTACTCATTATCAAGTAATATTCATACAGATCAGAAAAAATGCTGAACTTTTTTATAAAACTCAGATGCAAAGACACATTCCAATAGAAATTTCTGTATGGTTGAATTTTATCTGTAAATCAGCAAAAGGCACAGTAGGAGCACTGGGGCAAGGCAAGAGCAGGAGGCTGGATTTATAGTTCCATGTTTACTTATTTCTAATGCAGAATCCACAGCTCTCCATTCGTTTATCTTCAGGAATATGTAATGTATTTCTTCCTATTTATTCCTGGGTGAGAGTATGTATGACTTAACATGAGACACCAGTCCAGAGATGTATATTAGATACTGTGAACTGAGAGCATACAACCATAAAATTTTTATCTTTGGGTACTTTTTGAGTGTCTACTGCCCACAAGGGGATGGTTGCAGATGCAGTGTAAGGGATCGTGCAGCTGGGCAGTTATTACCATACCTCGTGACCAGGAGTGCATGCGTTGCATTAGTGATAAGGCAAAAGGAGAGCATCCTTATTTCTCTTATCTTCTGCATCTGTAAATTGGCACTCTCTGTATCGCTGTGAACACTGAGAACCGGATACACAGAGTCAGGATTTCTCCTTGCTCGTACTCCTGTTAAGCCAATTAACTCAGTATCACAAAAAGTTAGCACAAACCAGCTGCTGTTAGTATTTGGGCCATGCTATTCCCTGCTGATAAAAGTCTTCCATTTCCCTTCCACTGTAGAAAATGTTGGAGCACTTAGCAAGTCTTGGAAGTTAAGTTATATATAGTGATTTATCTTTCAGAGATGATTTTTCATTTTGAATATTTTTTTTTTCATTATCCTGGTAAGAAACTTTCCAGCCTTATAAAACCAAACAAAAAAAAAAAAAAAAGGAACTGGTTTTCTTGGGGCAATGGCTGCACTGGAATGGTTTTCATGTGAAGGAAGCACAAGTCACTCACAGAGCTCCTCACATTTCAGATTCCCTTATCTTACTTTTAGTAATTCAAGAGCTTGTTGCACTAACTTGCGGGATGCAAATCCAGGGGTATGCAGGGGAACAGGGACAGTATGTTTTTAACAGCAGATCACCAACAGTCTGCAGCGCACAGAGTAACTACTCTGGCAGTAATCGTAGTGATTCTGGCACTATTGCTAGACTTTCAGTTTTGGCTCTAATGAGCCATGCTATTTTACCTATTGTCAAGTCACTGATGGTGGGTGCAGATAACCAAGCAAAAAATTCCTTTAAATGCAGCTCCTCCTCAGCTGTTTTACCACTTGCTACCAAAATATGCACAATGATTGGTAAGGGCTTCCACATTTCCAGCATTACCTTGCCAGCTGAGATATAGCAGACAGCAGAAAACTGTGCTTGGATTGATTCAGGCAGGTTATGCTGAAGGGCCTGTGCTTGCAGGGAGTGTTTATTTAGATGTATTAAGGCCAAATACAGAAAACACCCTGTAAGTTGAACAAGTAAAATACAAATATATGAAATGTTTGAAAGACTCAGGCCTTTTTTGCCAATTTCTTACCTGTAAATTGTTTGCCAAATTCATAACAGAAGTTGTAACTAATATTGCAAGGTTACTATATAGGTATTCACGTGCTTAGACTATTTTATACTATCAGATGGTACAGTGGTTCAATATTGTCATTCTGAATTGGACTTTTAAATACATAATTACATACAGCTGAAGTAAAAATCCTATTGTAATATCTAATATAAACAAGGTATCCTATTTCAAATGGAAACTTAAAGTAAGAAAATCCAATAATGGGAGGCTTAAAAATAGAACCTTTCCTTTTTATTAATTTAAGCCATTTTAAAAGGCAAAACTATACTGTGAAAGCTTGTATTTAGGCTCTTACTTTTCTTTTTTTAACAGGATTGGGAGTTTCCACATTTTATGGGTGATGTTGAAGTGAATCTTCCAGGCTTGCCATCTGCACACATGCAGTTCAAAGTACCTTATTTCCAAAAGATCTTCAAAGAGGAATATCACATACATATAACCGGTATGTAATCTTACAGATTGTGATACAGTCACACAGTGAACCGCCTCTGTGTAATAAATGTGTGCTAACATGTTCTTAACCCCATGCCTTGTGTGTGTATGTGTCCCACATTATCTGTTTGTCTGTCCATATCCATATCATCCATATATAAACGTCTCGGGAAAATGAGAACCTATCTCTTACGAATCAGAGACCTGCTGTTTTTCATGGATTTCAGCAGCTTCTTGTGATGCTAAGTAATACCTAATGTAGCTTCAGAGATCTTCTCTCTAAAATTACTCTCCAGGGGAATTAGCAGCTTATTTCATTTTCAAATCTCTTATGCTTTCAGATGCCTTTGCCATGATTTATGCTAATATATTTTTATAACTTTGGTCATTCTCATCTGGCAAAGCCCATCATAACCATACTTCCATCAGTCATGTAACCAGAAGCAGACAGTTAAATAACCTCAAATAAAATAGAATTGCAGTTATTCAAATGGATGATAGATATAGATAAAAAGTACCTGAGTACCTGATCCTTGCATACTGTAAGACAGTATTTTAATAACAGTAGGGAATGAAAAAGAGAAGGTTTAAATAGGGATAAATATTTTGGTTTTACCTTCAAGCTATACAGAAGGAGCATAGCTCCTCTACATTGAGAAGAGTTGGATGATAATGGATAGCAAAAAATGCAGATGTGAATTGACAAGCATCTTTAACTGATAATATAAACAATCACAGCACATTCCTGTACAGGAGTAAGATAGATGAGGGCATCCAATGACACAGCCGTATGAAACTCCTGCAGAGCAGGGACAAAAGGAGCATTCAGAGATGATATGAAGACAGAGAGGCCAAGAGCTAGCAGGTGAGTCCCGAGCTCACCAGGCAGCAAAAGCCAAGGGAAGAAAATGTGCCAAGGAGGAAAGAATGATGAACCCAGGACTCATTCGAGGCTGAATGAAGCCCCAGAAAAGGCATTTTCAGCACATAATGTAGCAATCTGAGCGATCAGATTAAAAACCAGACAATAAGAGAAAATTAGTGCAAAAGTTACCTGCTGTCTATTGAATGAGGGAAGGAATACGGGCCAATAGGAAGTATAGATGGAGGCATGGAAGATTTTTCAAAACTGGATGTAGGTGCCCTGCTGGAATACTGAAAGAGAACAAAGAGCCAGCAAGAAGAAAAATAGGCTGGGGCACGTCTGAGTGGGACCGTTTGAGCTACTAGTGGTGTATGGAATAGGGTGAAATAAATGATCTCATGGGCAGTGCCTAGAAGGTGTAGGGTGAGAGAAGGTGAGATGTGTACATGATGAATACATTCCTGTCTCCCAAGTGAGCAAAAGGGAAAAAGAGACTTTAAAAAAAAGACTGTAAGCATCGAGTATTTGATGTGAATTATAGGGATGGTATTCAGGATAGTAAAAAAGGGTTTTTTTCTATTTCTCAAGACTGGAGCGTGAATGTGGAGGGGCTCAGTCCCACAAAGCTCCCAGATGCACTGCAATTATTCCATTGTATAAGGAGTAGTAGTGGAATGGGTGCTCAGAGGGGCACAAACGATAACTGAGGCATGGTAGGGTGGGCTGCGCCATCAGATACAGAAACTCAGGATATAATTAATGTAGATGAAGAACAACGTGTGGTAGAAGAGGGACTGAAAGCAAAGAACAGTTTTGCATTGTAGAAGAGACAGGGATATTAATGATAATCAAGGAAGAGCAAAGAATAAGCAACAGCAAATAACATAAATTAGGGATCAGAAATAAAACTGCTAGCAGTGCTGCTGTTTGAAAACAGACCAACTGAGAGAAACCAATATTTATGCATTATAGAATCTTCTGCAGAGAGGACTGGAGGCTTTTCTGATTTTCTGGCGAGAAGGCATTCTTTTAATGAGGATGAGCTAATGAATAGGGGCTGAGGAATATTTTTCCCTGCTCAGCATTAACAAGATCCATTTATTAGATTCACTAGACAAATCAATCCATTTGACTGCACGTCACGTACTCTGTCTACTGAGTGCCTGTTTTATCTCGGTGCTACAACACCCTTTAGGAGATCTAATAAACATCCATAACACATGGCACAAGAACCTCCCTTTGGGTAAGTTTTGCTTGAACCATCTGTTCTTGCCATAAGTTCTTGTCTTAGGTTAGGGTATCATCTTGGATCATTTTCAAGCTCTAGTTATTGTGAGGATGTGTAGATACTTGTAATTTTCTACTCAAATCAAGGAGCTAATAAAAGAAAGG